AAAGGGAGGGAAAGACCTGTTTGCCCAGCAGAGAGTAAAGCAGCTGTCCAGCAGGAGGCAGTGGAGGTGAGGTTGGCAAGGTTGGTTGGGACCAGATTGTTGTGGGATTGGATGCTGGCTTGGCAGTTTTAAGACTTTATCTCTAGGCTTGAGAAAAAGAGGGAGAGAGACAATTCAAACAATTCAAAAAATAGTTTTAGTCCCAACAGGTGTGCTTTGAGTATTTGTTGATTGAGAAAATACAATATGATAGAGTGATTATGAACTCAGTAACTCCCTGAAATAAATTTGTGTTTTATTAAATATGGTAGCTTCTCTGTACCTTTGGGACATTGTGATAAATTATTCTATGAAACACTTATTCTGCTTACTGCCAGTACCAGGTTTATGCGTGCATTTGCTTACCCTTTACAATAACACTGTGATCCCAGGTCAGAGTCATTGCTTTACGTGTACTAACATACTTTGACTTCAGAGCATTGTCTTTTGGGCTGCCTTCTATCACAGGGGGAGTGTGTTTCTTTTATTAGTAAAAAAAATATCGAAGTGTAATTTATATACAGTTGAGCACATAGATATTACGTGTACAAATCACTGTATTTTTAACTACGTATACATCTGTGTAAGCATCACGAGGATAACATTCCCAATGCCCCAGAAGGCTCTTTTGTGTCACCTCCCAGCCAAAAGTGCCCTCCTTGAGGTTCTGACCTCTATTGCCATAGATTATTACCTGGGAACATGTTTCTTTTTTTCCACTGTACACCCAGGTTCATGCAGTACAGTGGGGTGGGAGCAGGGGAGGGTCTGTATATGTCACATACTATACTAAACACATTCTGAGACTTAAATAAATTCTGCCATAAAACCACAGACCTAGGCTTATATAACTTGTCTAAACTCAATCCCATCTCACGGACTCCAGAGTCAATGTTTTTTCCATCACACCATGCTATAATATACTTCAACTGACATTTGCCATACTTATCATTATTGTTAATGAAAAGTTATCTTAGACTCATCAGTAGTTTACAAAGACTAGCAGTTAACATCGAATCCTAATTTCTAAGTGCATTTAAATGGTTAGAAGATTTTAGCATAACTCTCTTGGGAGGTAGGGGGAGTTGTGTTCATTTGAAACTGTAGGATAATGGCAGTTTCTTGGTTTAGTGAGTGCCTAGTTTGTGCCAGATTATGTGCTGGCCAGTGGCGTTATAGAGAGAAAAGAAATTTCAATCCCAGCCTTCCGATTTTCTGATGGGGGAGGTAGATGATAGTGTGATGAGTGCTACGAAACAGGGATGCTGGAGCATGAGAGAGGAAGTAAGGGAAATGTTCTTCCTAGCAGAGATGAAGTCTGAGTGGAGTATTAGATCTCATAGGAGTTGTACAGGCCAAGAAGAGGGAAAGAGAGAGTTGTTCTAAGCTGGAGAGAGGGTACAGCATGTGCAAAGAATGGATGTCTGGAGAGCGTGGCACATTGAGAGAACTGCAGGTAACTGCCTGGTGTGTAGGAGGGAGGTGCCTATGTTAATGAGTTGGATTTTGCACTGAAGGTCATGATGGATTTGCAATTTAGGAAGACCACTTCAGATTTTGGGGAAATGAATCAAAGGGGTTGAGACTGACTAGGAGTACACGATGATTAAGGGACCCAGGGAAGGCGGTACCAGTAGGTTAGAAGACAAGCCAAATTTGACAGATATACAGGAGGTGGAATCCACAGGAGTTGGTGACTGTTGATTTGCAGCTGTGAGGTTGATCTCTGCTGTAACTCTGCTTCTAAATGCGGTATTATAGTCTGAAAGGGAGAATGGGGTTTTGTGAAAGGACTTGATTTTTGTAATTCTTAACCAAAATGAAATACTTTTTCCCCTCCTTAGTGGAAGGGTAGTATTTGCTTTAGAACAACCCCATTACTTGTTTTGGTGTGCATAGGAGTTTGTAGATGAAGGCCTGAATTGTATGATAGCTTTTTTTTTTTATTGAGCAGGCCCATAAATCAGTCTTTTGGTTTGTTTTAACCTCCTTTTGTTTATCATGGTGAAAGCTAAATCTTCAAATGAGTGTTCCCATAGAGAAGACCTATGACCCCTTGAACTGAGTGGGAACTAGTGATATGGAAAGAAGAAAAGGCAAACCTTTCTTAACTCCTTTCAGGATTTATGTGGTTATTTATTTACTGGCAAGTGTGCAGAAAGTAAGATTGGCACTTTTTGTGAAATGGAGTATAGTTTGGATTTGAAGGGTTTGATAAAGTTTAAAGTTATCCTTGCCTTTGCTTTGGCCTGTGCTCTGCTGGAATAAGCTACTTATTCCTCTGTGTGCACAGGATAACTAACAGTGGGGCTATTACCTGGGTGCCTAGGGCGTTCTCACTCAGGCTGAGAGTCCTAGCCCTTGGCTGCGAGAATATCTCCACACAAAGCTCAAGGACTGTGTGTAGGACTGAAAACTTCTAGGAAAGGCAAAACAAGCTCCTGTTGCTTTGTGATTGGCAATGTCTGGAGTCCTAACCCTGAATGGTCATTACAAACCCAAACTACACTTTGTATGCTCAGAGGAAGCTTTTCTCTCCAGCCAGCCACAATTTAGTTATCTGCCTACACAACTCCAAGTTTCCTGTTACTATAAATCCTTGACAGTTTCAAATGAAGGATGGCGGTATGTGGGGCCAAGAATCCTTATTCAAATTAATAGAAGAGCAATGGCAGTGTAGTTACAGTCATGTATAATAAAACTACAAGATAAATTTGTTGCTCCTGGAATCCCTGTATAGTGCTCTGAGCCCCCGTGAGCTCCTGCTATTCTAGTTTTCAAGGTTGTGCTCCAGGACTGTTAATGTTTTTGCAGCAACACAAGTTCATACTTACCTAGGGCTGTTCATTTCAGCTTTAAGTTGTTAGTAAACAAACATGCTATTTGAACAACAATTTATGGAAGACAAGCATGTGTGACCTCAATTCAGTGTTGCGATGAAATCAAACACTCATAATTTGACTTCTTCAGTGATATGCATGATCATTATTGTGCTGCATGGTAATTAGGTAAGCAGTTCATATAAATAATTATAGTATTAATTTATACATGGCCAAATCAAATTTTCACAGTTCTTGTTTATTCATTTGTTGCTTCTTCATTCTTCAGCATTTCTAATTAGCATCCCTGTCAGCAGTTTTCACTGATATCTGTGTAAACTCATCCTTATCACTTGCCTATTCTGGTTATCTTATGTTAAAACTCCAACTCTAGGTTCTCTTCCTTAGCAGCCCCTTGGAGGGGATTGGTGGTCCTCAGCCCCATTCTCTCTCACCAGCCAACCTCAACCCCAGAGAAGCTACTGTGGCTTTTCCCTGACCCCAGGTGTTTTGGGAGTCTGGGGTCTTCAGGGAGTAGGAGTCCAGACCCTGAGACTGGGTGGCCTGCCTCCAGGGATGGCACAGCACACTGTGGGGATAAGAGGCCCTTTCACCTTGGAGGAGGAATTGGCAACATATTTTATTTAAGAGTACTGTACCGATTGAAATAACTGAAAATTTATCACCCAATGGATAGTAAGGATGTTAGTAGACATTTATTTACAGAACTACTTTATTCTAGCACAAAGTTGATTTTAGGTTTAAAAAGGGATGCACTAGTAGCAGGAATACTTTGATATCTTGGTTAGAGAATCATTGAAAAGAAAATAATACAGTTTAGATTGAGAAACAAAATTTGATTTTGAGCGACATGTTTGAGCTGCTTTTGTGTATCTCTGTGGCATGCAGTGATAGGTGGTACAGTGTTTGGTGGTTGGATGTAGAACCTTGTATTGTGGCCCTGCAGGCTGTGTGTGTATTGCCTATTTCTATTGTGGTTAACCTGACCCACCATTTGGTTCCTTAAGGTTAGGTTTCCATACCTGTGCTGTATGAGAGCCCCCCCGTCAGCTTCTGCATAGGGGAGCTTCATCCTTTCTTCAAATGTTTACTGAGTTTCTGTTTTGTGTTAGGCCCTTTGGTAGGAGCCAGGTACAGAAAGATGATCAAATATCTTGACTTTAAATAGTACCTTTTGCATTTACCTCTTTAGTTTCATTTAGCCTCATCGTCTATGTAAAATGGAGAAAGGCTACTCGTGTGCCCACAATACAAATAAGTAGTCACAGAGAGATGAACAGACTTGTTTAGGGTTACGCATCATAATAGTGGCTGAGTGGATGCTATAATTTGACCTCCCAACTGTTCACAAGGTAGGAAATTATAAATGAAATAGTTTTTGAATCTAAACCTAATCAATCAGGAAGCATGGCATCTACCCAAATAAGTTTATGCAGACATTTAAAAAATTCATACAAATGATTCTTAGATTGGGCTACTTTATGAAAAATAAAAAATTATTAATATCAGATAATTAAAAACATCAGAATTTAAATATTGTTAATGAAGGATTCATAGTTTGCCCAATAAAAAAACTTAGTAAATTACCCTAGTGAGCCTAGAAGTCATCATGATTTGATTTATACAGTGTTTTCAGGAAGACACTATTCAATGTATTTTTAAATTGGTTTGGAAGGTAGTGAGTAAGATATTTCTAAGGGTGAGGAGGAGACAGTTTTGAAAATTCTCTTAGTCAATACTGAATTGATCAGGATAGGGAAAACAGTGTTAAGGTAATATTGTTAGTGCCTTTTTTTGTGTACCTTAAAATCTTACAGGGCCGGGGGTGTGGGGTATGCGTGGGGGAAAAAAAATCCTACAGGGCCCAGTAACTATTTTAGGTTTATTTTGCTTTAAAAAAAAAAAAAAAAAGGCCTATGGGCTCCCTGTGTTATTGACTCAGAAAATTTCCCCATGAGCCAAGTGAGAAGAGCATTAACATTGTACCATGGACACCTAAAACAGTATTCACTGGACACAGGCCAGTCCAAAGGCTCTGGGTCTGGGGGAGAGGGGCCCATGGTAGAGTTGTCCCTTCTTGGGGAGGGCTTCTGGGAACAGCAGTGAGAGGGCAGAGCTTACCTGATGCAGTGAAAGAATGTGGACTTCGAGGCCTTGCTGAACTCAGGTGATTTGTTGTATGACCTTTGGCAAATTGTTTCATGTATCTTTTTTCCACCTGTAAAATGAGGTTATATTTTATTCTAAAATAGGATTTTAGGGTATCATGTAAATAGAAGATCCTGTTTGTGGTAGAAAGTATTAGCTAGCTCTTTATACATATTTGTTTCTAGCATCATTTTAGATCTGTCCACCTCATGGGACTGTAAATTCCATAAGGGCCGAGGCCCTGTCTCTCTGCTTTGCTTACTCTGTCTCCCTGCCCCATGTCAGCACTTGAGCTTAGTCGGGTACCCAGATACCTGGTGAATGAAGGAGTCCCCATAATTTGTATTGCAGCTATAGGGAAAAAATGTAGACACTGCCTATAAGCATAGATCTGTATTTGTTAACATCTTGGAGTTTCAGGCTTGTGTACTCCTTTTTTTGTTAACAAGTTACAATTGGATTTTTATATTCCCAAGATTTCCAGAGCCTTTTCTTCCTCTCCTTCAGCTTGATTGATGAAAACATAATAGTGAAGTGAAAAAAAGACTCATTGTGTTTTCGTTTTGAGGTGGACCAGCATGTTCTTGAAGCCTTGGTCTCTGAGTCACTCTGTTGTTTGGGGTTCACTGCTAGTTTAAGGCAGAGCTGGGTCTCTCTGTTCCTATCTTCTCAGAGAAGGTATTTGGTTACAGATCAGAGCTGTTTTCCTCATAGTAAAAAGCCTCTGAAAAACTTGGGGGTAAAGAGGCATCTTGTCTGCATCTTACTCGTTAACACACTGAGGAGAGTCTGGACGGAGGTTTGTGAAAGGATGAGACCAAAGTCTCAATCACAGTGCATTTCTCAACAAATATTGCTGAACTGGCGTTAGAATGTTCATTAATGTGAAAATAAAATTGCTTTAGATTGAGACTGCTGCTTCCTCTGTGTTCTCAATGGAGCCTGCTATGGAAGAAAAACTAGACAAAATGCTCTCTGTAAAGCCTCTATTTTTTTTTTGAGACAGAGTCTTGCTTTGTTGCCCAGGCTAGAGTGAGTGCCGTGGCGTCAGCCTAGCTCATAGCAACCTCAAACTCCTGGGCTCAAGCAATCCTCCTGCCTCAGCCTCCCGAGTAGCTGGGACTACAGGCATGTGCCACCATGCCCAGCTAATTTTTTATATATATATTAGTTGGCCAATTAATTTCTTTCTATTTATAGTAGAGACGGGATCTCGCTCTTGCTCAGGCTGGTTTCGAACTCCTGACCTGAGCAATCCGCCCGCCTCAGCCTCCCAGAGTGCTAGGATTACAGGCGTGAGCCACCACGCCCAGCCTAAAGCCTCTATTTTAAGAAGAATGATTCAAAGATGAAATTTTCATCAACAAACAGAAATTGAATTGCCAGGTTTGCCAGATGTCTCATTTTAAAGAGATTTTTTCTCATTTGGGCTCTTGTAAAAGTCTTCCTTTGCCACTGAAATACGCTCTGTCCCATGTAACTTAAAAATAAAAGTTTCAGAATGTTCGGAGTCTCGTCTGTGTAGGGTTTGTAGTTCTGTGTATGAATAGTTCAGCTGGGAATTGAATTACATAAAAATAAAGACAAAAATACCACATTATCAGACTATAGAGTTTTGGGAAATTTCCATAATTTATTTAGTATATTCCATCTTATTCTTTCACTCAGCATTTATTGAGCACCTCCTGTGAACAAACACTGCTCTTTGTTCTCCATGGCAGCAGCAATGTGCCTTAATGTGGTTGTGCTTCATTAATGTTCTACCTTGTAGTCATCCTACCTTACGTGCTGTAATAGGGTGGAATGGCTAATATTTGGGGGAAGGACTCTCACTTTTACAGTTAAAGGCACAGGTCCTTCTAATGGGCATCTTCTTCTTCTTTTCTTTCTTTCTTTTTTTTTTGAGACAGAGTCTGACTCTGTTGCCTGGGCTACAGTTCCATGGCATCAGCCTAGCTCACAGCAGCCTCAAACTCCTAGGCTCAGGCAATCCTCCTGCCTCAGCTTCCCGAGGAGCTGGGACTACAGGCATGTGCCACCCCGCCCAGCTAATGTTTCTATTTTTTATAGAGACGGGGTCTCACTCTTGCTTGGGCTGGTTTTGAACTCTTGACCTCAAGCATTCCTCCTGCCTCAGCCTCCCAGAGTGCTAGGATTACACCTGGCCAGGCATCTTCATTTTGGGGCAACATAAAATACCCTGCCTCTTCCTTTATTTGGTCCACCACTAAACCCTTTCCCAGCATCCTTTGTAGGCTTCCTTGAGGTCTGTGTACTCTCCCAGGGGAAGAGCTGGGGGAGAAGAAGGAGGCTGACTTTAAGGAGCTAGTCCCAGCAACCTGCTGGCAGCTGTCCCTCTGCCCCAGGCTGAGCTACCAGCAGAGAAATGGGAGAAGGCCCTTGGCTGAGTGGAGAGGCACTTCCTGTGTGGTTTGTGGAGAGGCAGATTTGACTGGAGATACAGTTAGGTATCAGTTTTCTTTGGCACTTTTCATGTTGATGACCTCTTCTCTTCAAAGCCAACCAAGCTCCACTACCTCCCAGGGCTCCCAATTACCTATCAAAATTCCTATAACCATTGTGTAGCTAGATCCAACTTGATGTTAGAAAACCAGTTTTTGTAAGAGAATTCAAATTAAAGTGTAAATGAAATGGTATTCTGTCCTGTCTTACTTTCTCTGGCAAACTAACCAAAAAATCTGACGATGTGATGAGGGAAAAGATCTTTTTGAGTAGAGGTTCTTTGCTTTCTTCCAACTAGGAAGCGAGGAAGGGACATCCCATCCCTATAGAATTGACTACTGACTGCTCTGTATTTCCTCCTTGCTCATTGGCCTCTTCTCTGGCCCAGAGCCTCACCTCTCCGACCAACTGCGGCTGCCCTTCTAAGGGAAATACAGGTGTTTCTGTTCTGGCCAGGGTCACAGCAGCTTGAGAGGGTGGAGCTGTGGGTAGGGGTTGATAAGCAACTTCCAGAACTTCCAGATTGTACAGTCCCTGGTGAGAGGAAGAGGCTGTCTCTGGTTACCAACTGGCCTCCTCCCATCTGGTAGCACATACACAGCCTCTTCCTAAAGAGCCTTGCTTTTCCCTCCTAAGCTTTTTGGGTATTTTTTGTTTTTGTTTTTGTTTTTGAAAGAAAGGCTATTTTATTTAAAAAAAAAAATGTGGGCTCTGGGAACAGGGTTAGTCCATTCGGGCCTTCAGTGTCCTGGTGGTGATTTTGTCCTTCTCAATAATGTGGACAATGACTCCCATGCCTGACACTGCATCCCGGTCCACAGCATTCAGCATGGCTTGGGAGATGGTTTCAAACAGGTGTTCTGGATCCATGTTGGGCTCCCAGAGAGACTCGCACATCCCATACATTTGTTCGGCGCAGGTGCCACTGACCACAAAGTCCTCAGTCACCATGGGGCAGCCGATGAGGTCTAGAGACCAAATGAAGGGCTTAAAGGTCTTCGGGTCCAACCCAGCAATGACCGGCTCAGTGTAGTAGGGGCCAAACCGTTTCTCATACAAGAGGTTGGCCACCATACTCATCAGGGTGTAAGGTTTGATCTGCTGACCTTCCTTCAACTCATACAGGTTGAGCCGGAACTTGAGGCGCTGGGCAACTGTCTGGACGTCAGTGGCGAGTCCGGCCAGACCGATGTACAAACGGTCACCCATGGGAAAGATCTTCTGAAAGTCCGTGGTCACCATCTGGGCCTGGATCCCGAAGCACCTGTCTGCAGCGATGGCCACACAGTTTTTCCACTTCATGGCCATGACGGCCCCTCCGTTATAGGACATAATAGACATGTTTGCGGTGTACTAGGACCCCCGACCTCTGGTGCAACTCCCGTAAACCAGTTCTCCCCTTTACTCAGCTTTTTGGGTTTTTTTGGCCTCAGGCTCACTCTAGAAATATTTTTCCTGTTCCTCATTCTGCCCTGTCTGCTATATCCCTAGGACCAGTCTCCACTTTTTCCTTCTAGAAACTGAGTTTAGCCATTATGGAAGTCAAAACATTGAAACTTTGGTAGGTGTGGAACACCTTCTGGTTGAAAGTCAAAGGGTGTAGAATTCTGTGCAGATGTTGATGGGTGAGTCCATGTTGAAGGCAAGTGTGACTTTGGAGAGGCATCCTGTGTAGTGGTTAGAAGTATGGGTTCTGGAGCCAGTTGGTCTGGGTACACATGCCAGCCCTCTGCTTAGCAGTAAGTTACTTAGCTACAGTTTTCTCACTTCCAAAATGGGGGTGATAATAGTATCTACATCATACTGTCATTGTGAGGATCAAAGGGGATAATCCACATGAAGATGTTTCCAACTGCTTCTGGCACAGGATATGTGCTTATTAAATGTTAACTTTGTAACTGTAAATAGGAGGGGAAGCTACAGGGCTGTTATTAATAAATGGCTACCAACAAGTTCATCCCTAATGCACTTCTGTGAAGTCTATGTAGAAAATTATGATGAGGAAAAGAAGTCAGCAAAAGGTATCTCAGGATCCGTTCCATAAAAAGCCATCACATTTAGCATGTGTTGTCTCTAGATCGCCTTAAACTGGCCACTAAATCTGTTTTCTGAATTTTATAGTCTGATTGAAAGTATTCTGTTGCCTACTGATTTGGAAGTACAAAGCTGACTGCAAGCATGAAATTTTCTTTTTATTTTACAGAGCACCATGTAATATATAGCATATTGAATGTGAATTTGGTTACTGTTACGTTTTGAGCTGTATATACACTTTCAAAAACTTGATCCTGAATAAGCGTCAGTTATGGTTGGTAAGTTGTAGGGTTTCTAGTCCAAAAAGTTGGAAATTAATCCCTTAGTGAAGGTTCTTCCAGGAGACCTGTTTCTAAGAGAAAATTAAATATTGACTCAGAGTACCTTTTCAGGATGGTGCTCCTGAGTCCAGACTGAGGCTTGCCTTGAGTTCAGACTCCTTACTGTCTTTGAGGCTTTTGCAGTCTGGCTCACTTCTCTGTCTTCATTGCTGTTAGCTTTGTACCGGATGTTTCAGCATTACTTAATTCAACAAATATTAAGTGCTCTCTCTGTACCTGCAGAGGTGCTATTTGCAATTCTCCTGAACCTGGGCCCACTCTGCCTTGCATCTAGACCTCTGCACATGCCCCTGTGACTACAAAATTTCCAATGCTCTGACCTTTGACAGCATCTGGCCTCATCTTGAAAAAGGCAGTAGGTGATAGCTAAGCACCTGGTCTCTGGTGTCAGGCTGTGTGGATTCAAATCCCAGCTCTGCCACTGCTAGCCATATGACCTTCGGGAAGTTTCTTAGCCTCTTTGTTTCATCTTTAAAATGGCAGTAATGATAGCAGCTGTTCTATGGTGTTATTCTGAGAATTAAAGGAGGTAATTCACAAGTGCACTTAGTATATTCTTTGCACATAGTAGTTTCTTAGCAACTGTTAATCAGCTATTGTTAGCATTTTTGTATGTCACTTTCAGCAGGAAGTCTTCCTGATTCTGCTTGTGAGGGCCCTTCCTAATTACTCCCAGAGCCTATTCTATAACTCCTGCCGCTGCATTTAATTGTGGTGTATTGTAATTCCCTGTTTGCTTGTTTCTGTCTACTTCTAGATGGCGAGCTCCTTGAAAGTAGGGAAGGTGTTTTTTTTGGCCACAGTCAGCTCCATTGCTTGGTAGACTTTGTTTCCTTTCTCCACCTGCTTAAGATATTAGAGTAGGTGGTTTTTGTTTGTTTTTATTTTTCAAAAGTTCCTAATCCAATTCCTATTGATTTATTGATGACTGGGTCTGCTTGCCCGTTTTATCATGAGCCAAGACCTTTAAAATAGTGTTTCTTCATTAGGACAGTTTTTAAAGATGCACCAGAGTATTTGAAATGAAAAATGCCATTCATTTAGCCTACTTTGTGTGAGGCATTACACTAATTCTTTATGTATATTCTTATTGAATTCAGCCTCAACTCCTCCAAGTTAGGTGCTAATATACCCATTAGGAATTATGTAAAGTGCTCAGAGTCATTCAGTTTATGTGTCAGAGTTCGGCTCTACACCTGGGTCTGTTTGGCATATACTGTTTTCCTCCTGTGTTCACTGCCTTACTGAAGACTTGTTGGCTGACTGGTTCTTTGCCCATAACTGTTGTCCCAGGGCCTTACTGCCTTTTCTCTAGGGAGCTATACAATTATACTTCAAAAGTAATCATTAAAGGGATTAATTCTTTCTGCTGGGAAGATGCCAACTATGGTTTTATACTGTGCAATTGCAATACTTTAATAGCACAAAATGACAAGACTGTCATGCAGGTAGATAAGGATTATGGACAAACACAGCAAGCATTGGAACTTTGGGGTGGAGAGAGCTGAGAAACATCTATTTTTCCATGTCTTAGTTTGTCTAAAAGTTAAAAATAGAATTAATTATGCCTCCTAGGCCACCTGGATCTGTGATTGGCATGGAAAATTTACACAGTATATCCAAAAGATAGCCTGTGTCAAGACTTTCTTTCTATCAAAATATGCCATTGATCAAACCGTATTCTCTTCTGAATATGATTTTTTACACAAAATACATGGGCTTGGAAACTAGGGTTTATTGTGACTCTAGCTGGTAGCTAGTAGTAGAATAAGCTAATGAGTCAAGTGCAGTTAATGTCTACTTTTTACATTAAGAATCACTAAGGTACCAGCAATTTATAACATTACTAAATTTAATTTTTTGCTTTTTTAAAAAACACAACTTGGGAACAGCATTGTCTCAGGTGATTAGCATCTACCTATGGAACTATTTCTAGTGCAATAGACCTGGTGGACCTGCAAGATACCAAAGGAATCTTCTCCTCATCTGATTTCTCTTTTGTCCCTCACCCAAGCCAGGGGACACAAGGACCACTCAGAGGAGCTTCCAGATGTGGTAGCCAATGAAGACCTTGGCTTCAAAAGTATTTATTTATTTTTTTTATTTTTTTATTTTTTTATTTTTTTTAGCCTCTAAACATTTGGCAATCAAAAGTATTTAAACCTTCTTCTAGCTATGAAATTCTATAAGAATTCAGAAGATACTAGAGAAAATAATTTTTGTTGTTGATTTTATGTCTTTCAAAAATGTTAACACCCTTTTAAAATTTTTTTTTTTTGAGACAGAGTCTCACTCTGTTGCCCGGGCTAGAGTGCCATGGCATCAGCCTAGTTCAAACTCCTGGGCTCAAGCAATCCTCCTATCTCAGCCTACTGAGCAGCTGGGACTACAGGCATGCGCCACCATGCCCGGCTAATTTTTTCTATATATATTTTTAGTTGGCCAATTAATTTCTTTCTATTTTTAGTAGAGATGGGGTCTCGCTCTTGCTCAGGCTGATCTTGAACTCCTGAGCTCAAATGATCGGCCCACCTCTGCCTCCCAGAGTGCTAGGATTACAGGCGTGAGCCACCGCGCCCGGCCTTAAAATTTTTATTATTAAAAAAAATTGGGGGCCAGGCGCGATGGCTCACGCCTGTAATCCTAGCACTCTGGGAGGCTAAGGCGGGTGGATTGCTCGAGGTCAGGAGTTCGAAACCAGCCTGAGCAAGAGCAAGACCCCGTCTCTACCATAAATAGAAAGAAATTAATTGGCCAACTAATATATATATAGAAAAAATGAGCCGGGCATGGTGGCACATGCCTGTAGTCCCAGCTAGTCGGGAGGCTGAGGCAGCAGGATTGCTTGAGCCCAGGAGTTTGAGGTTGCTGTGAGCTAGGCTGATGCCACGGCACTCACTCTAGCCTGGGCAACAAAGCAAGACTCTGTCTCAAAAAAAAAAAAAAATTGGGCTGGGTGTGGTGGTTCACACCTGTAATTCCAGCACTTTGGAAGGCTGAGGCAAGAGGATAGCTTGAGTCCAGGAGTTTGAGGCCAGCCTAGGCAACATAGCAAAATCCTGTCTCTATAAAAAATAAGGCATGGTGGTACCTGCCGCCTGTTGCCCCAGCTACTCAGGATGCTGAAGCAGGAAGATTGCTTGAACCTAGGAGTTGGAGGTTATGGTGAGCTTTTTTTTTTTTCTTTTTTCTGAGACAGAGTCACACTCTGTTGAGTGCCATGGCATCAGCCTAGCTTACAGTAACCTCAAACTCCTGGGTTAAGGTGATCCTCCTGTCTTAGCCTCACGAGTAGCTGGGACTACAAGCATGCGCCACCATGCCTGGCTAATTTTTACACACACACACACACACACACACACACACTTAGTTGTCCAGCTAATTTCTTTCTATTTTTTTAGTAAAGATGGGGCCTCGCTCCTGCTCAGGCTGGTTCTGAACTCCTGAGCTCAAATGATCTGCCTGCCTTGGCCTCCCAGATTGCTAGGATTACAGGTGTGAGCAGCTGTGCCCGGCCTATGGTGAGCTTTGATGGAGCCAGAGTGAGACCCTATCTCTAAAAAAGAATTTTTTTTTTTTAAGAGACAGGGTCTTGCTCTGCCACCTGGGCTGGAGTGCAGTAGCATCATCATAGCTCACTGTAACTCAAACTCTTGGCCTCAAGTGATGCTCCTGTCTCAGCCTCTCAAAGTGCTGGGAGTACAGGTGTGAGCTACCACTCCCAGCCAAAACATTTTTTAAATATAGGTAGGTGGTAACTTATATTCGGAAAAAGCCTTGGTATAACTTGAAGCTTTCTGATCAGAAGATGGTATAGATAATGACTTATTTATCCAAACAAGTGATATTTGGAGTTTATAACAGCATGAACCACAGAATCTTGAGGTTCTTTTTCCAAGGGGTTCTGTCTACTCAAATGTGCAGGTTCAATTGATAGTAACTGTTGGCCAGTAAAAGAATCAGGAACTTTTTTTGATAAACAAATGTAAGGGCATTAAAGGTTTGCAGAGACTCAGAATGAATCTAAATGTTCTGAATAAATTGATACCTTCCTCCAGGTTGTTATATGTGGATGGTTGAAAGCATCATTTCTCACTGTTTCAATGTGGATTATTCCTCTTTGTCTGTTTTGGGACATCTTAATTGACATGCTCTGAATATAAGAGTAAGTAGGGGACAATAGCAATGAAAATTGCACACTTACTATATTTTAAGCATTATGCTGGTGCTTTACATACACCTCATTGAATCTTCACAAAGCCATATACATTGGTACTATTATCCCCATTTTACAGACGAGGAAACTGAGGCAAAAGAGTAACATGTCCGAGGTCATAGAGCTAGTGAATGGATAAGTGAGGATTCAGGAAGACCATGATACAGTGGTCAAGAGAAAGGTTGGTCAGCCTTGTCAAGTGCTTCAAAGATCAAAGAAAATGAAAACAGAAGTTGGGTTGGTGGTTGAGTGCATCCCTGACCTTTGAAAACCTGTGCCACTAAGGTGGGGAAAGCCAGTAGTTGCCTTGATGGGCCGTGCAGTGAATGGGTAGTGAGTCTATAGTCAGGGCATCAAGTAGAAGACTGACTTCAAAAGTTTGGCAGTCAGGAAGAATTGAAATAGGATGGTAGCTGGAGAGGTGATGGGGCCAGTGAAGCTTTTTTCCTCTGTTGAGAGATCTGTTCTGACCATATCTGAAGGCAGTGGAAGAACTTGATGGCAAGGGAGAAATTGAAAATTTCTGTAGTAGTGTTAAGAGTTATCACATTGAATGCTCACGGTGTGCCAGGTACTGGGAGAAGCATATTTTCTATTCTATCTTATTTACTCTGCATAGCAGTCCTGGGAAGTAGATAGTCAAATGCCCTTTTACAGATGAGGAAACAGAGGCTTAGAATTGAAGCACCTTGCCCAAGCTCAGACTGCTCTACTGATTTATATAGTTTTGGTATTTTTTTTTCCCTCAGAGACAGGGTCCTTGCTCTGTCACTCAGGCTGCGGTATAGTAGTGTGATCATAGCTCACTGCAGCCTCAACCTCCTGGGCTCAAGCAATCCCCCTGCCTCAGCCTCCTGAGTATCTTGGATTATAGGCAGGCACTAGCATGCCCAGATAATTTTTTGTGTGTTTTGTAGAGATGGGGGTCTCACTGTGTTGCCCAGGCTGGTCTCAAACTTCTGGCCTGAAACGATTTTCCTGCCTTGGCTTCCCAAAGGGCTGGGATTAAGGCATGAGTCACAGTGCTTGGCCTAATTTATGTAGTTTTAAACTGAGGTTTGTCAAGTTACATCATAGATGTAATTGAGTGAGCACATTATAGGGGAGATAGAGTCTGAGAAGAGAAGTGCCTTTTTTCCACTGAGACCAGAAGGAAGGATTCCTGAATTCAGATGGAGAGAGGAAGATGGATCCTTATTTAAGTACATGCGTTGTGCCCAGTGTTGGGCTCCATGCTGCTCCTTGCCCCTTGGTACTACTCCCCATCACCCTCCCTGCTGCATACTGAAAGAGCTGCAAGCTGTTTGAGGGATGTCTGCACTTTTTTCTGATGGGCCAAGTCCTCTTGCAGAGTCAGGAGTGTCAGAAATCGAGAGGAGGGTTTCAAAAAAACCAACTGTGTAGACATTGAATACATTGAGAATGTTGGCTTGGCCCGTGGCTCCCCAGCATCTATTGTACATGGCATAGAATAGAGGATGTGTGTGTGTGTGTGTGTGTGTGTGTTTCTTTTCCGTAGTATTTATGGGTGTTAATATAAACCAGCCAGCCAGGTCTATGAAGTTTGATAGACATTAGTCAGGGTCTGATTTTTACATACATTTTTCCTTTAGCTTTTCTTTCAGCCATCTTAAGGTTTCTAGTTATTACGCACTTATATGTTCTAGAGACCTGAATCTTACAGCCCTCAGGACCCGCTATAGTCCTCAGGACCCATATAAAATGTTTGAAGATTCGTACACATTCTCTACTCCAAAAAGCCTCTATAGTGGTTAGCATAGCTGCCTTCCAAAAAGCTTCTGCAAATGCATTTTCCTGTTTTTTTCATGCTTTAACCCTTTCTAAAGAAGACATTCTTCAGGGGTAACTTGTTTAGTTTGAGTTCCATATTTCCCTGCAGTACTGCTCTTTCTTTATGTGGTTTGGCAACCATTGGTGTAGGGGCTTTTGGATTTCCAAATGGATGGCTCCTGCTATTTCAAGAAAATCTTTGTGAAATGATAAAGGAGGTAGAGTAGGAGACAAAAGGACTAGAGAGACAAAGGCAGAGGAATCTAGTAATATATTTATTCATACTACCTGATTTTAGGAGAGTCTTAATTATCTCTACTATCACTTTTATTTTTCCTGCCTAATTATATAGATCTCTTGCCTCTTTATTGTTGAAGAGTAATTTGTTAAAGTAGGCAACTCAACAGTTACTGTAATGTTTATTTCTGTTGGACTTTGAAGTGTTCTCATATTTCTTCTTTTTTTTTTTTGAGACAGAGTCTCACCTTGTTGCATAGGCTAGAGTGAGTGCCGTGGCGTCAGCCTTGCTCACAGCAACCTCAAACTCCTGGGCTCAAGCAATCCTGCTGCCTCAGCCTCCCAAGTAGCTGGGATTACAGGCATGCGCCACCATGCCCGGCTAAGTTTTTTCTATATTTAGTTGGCCAATTAATTTCTTTCTATTTATAGTAGAGACGGGGTCTCGCTCTTGCTCAGGCTGGTTTCGAACTCCTGACCTCGAACAATCCGCCCGCCTCGGCCTCCCAGAGTGCTAGGATTACAGGCGTAAGCCACTGCGCCTGGCTCATATTTCTTCTTTAAATTAATTTACAAGGAGACTTAATTCTTAGTATATTACCGGTCTGTATTAGTTATAGTTTCACATTGTCCTTTTGTTTTTCTCAGAAACTTTGACTATCTTACCAGGCTCTTGCTTTCTTTCCTATCCTTTGTAAATGATTTTTTTGTTTTTTTCTAAAGATAGGGTCTCACTCTGTTGCCCAAGCTGGAGTGTAGGGTCTCAATCAAAGCTCACTGCAGTCTTGAACTTCTGGGCTCAAGTGATCCCTCACATCTCAGCCTTCCAAGCAGCTGGGACTACAGGTGTGCACTACCACACCCAGCTAATTTCCAAAATTTTATGTAGAGACAGCATCTTGCTATGTTGCCCAGGCTGGTCTTGAACTCCTGGCCTCAAGTGATCCTCTTGCCTTGGCCTCCCAGAGTGCTGGGATTACAGATGTGAGCCACTGCTCCTAGCCTGTAAATGATTATTTTTTCATAAAACTCATTTGTTTTGGATGTTTCATAAATGCTCTTTTATTATGTTTTTCTCCCCCAAATAAGGTCATTCCTCCTTGCAGTTTCTGCTCATTGCATGGCTTTCCTAAAAGTCCTGTTTGAGTATTGACATCAAGGGTGACGGGGAGGGGAGTCTAGTTAGGCCCTGGCAGTGAGCAGAAAATGAGCATGTCATTGGGCCTTGGGGCAAAGACCTTCATACACTCTGTATGTGAAAGAAGGGTAAATTGGTGGGCCTAGGGGTAACTGAGTAGGAAACTTAGAACCTTTCTAGAGAAATAGTTGAGAAAGCATGAAGGAGGCGTAAGTGACAAGACTTGGAGGAAGGGCTTTCTTGCCAGGAATTGGAGAATCTAGTTCAAGTAACTTTGTCAATAGAATCCTCGGGAAGGGTGTGTGGGGTTTGAGAAAATGGGGAAAAGTAGTTTCAGCCTGATATTGGATGAAGGGAGGGGTACTTTCTGGGATTCAGACCAAAATAAGCTTTCTTTAGTGTTCAGAGCAGTGATTCTCAACTGGGGCAATTTTGGCATCCTCACTCTAAGACATTCGCAATGCCTGGAGGTGTATTTGGTTGTCACACTTTGGGAAGGTGGGTGCTACTGGCATCTAGGGGATAGGGATGCTATAAATTTCATACAATGCACAAGACAGTCTCCCACAGCCAAGAATTACCTAGCTAAAGATGTCAATAGTGCCAAAGTTAAGAAACTCTGCTTTAGGAAGCATCTTGAGGGATTTTCATCAGGAATGGAATTAGGAAGTAAAACTAGAGGAGGCTATAAAAGACTCAAGTCTCATTATATGCATTACCCTATCCTAAGCTAATGTGAAGTAAAATTATGACTAAGATTAGATTTGTGTAGTTCTCGGTCAGGTATGGTTCATATCTTCTGTTGATCACAAATTATAGTAAAGAAGCTTTGACATTCCCAGATACTAGTGTGCCACCCAGTAGAGGACACAGGTGAGGGTGCTCACCTGTGAGAAGGGCAGGGCATTCTGAGGTCTTGGACTTTCAGGAGCAAACCCCCATTCTGTGGGTGGCAGCAAGGGAACTAGCTATAGTAGCTGGTAAGCTCCTTAAGGGCCACCCTCCGTCTCCCTTGACCATCCATGCCTCTGTTGGATTGTGTTTAAGGAAGAAGGAATTCTCCAGAAGCTTCTTTAGAGTACTCCAAAAGTAAAGTGTTCCCAGTGTCTCTTATTCATGGAGTTCCCAAAATGGAACCTTTGGAATTGTTTTGTGACCTCTTCTAAGTTGTCATGCAGTTAATTTGAATGCCTCATTGTAGAATCCTAGACCTCTGGGATGTGGACTTTGAGGTGCAAAGTACGCAGGCAAAGACAAAGTGTGTTCTATCTCTGTACTTGAGGTGGATTTTATACTGGAACATTAGTTATTTAAAAGGTGCTATGGCTCATTCACAGCCTTGTTACACCACTGCCCCTCAACCTCCCAGAAAGAGAAAAGTTCTTCCAGCTGCTGCTAAACACCAGAACCAGTCCCTTCTTGGGGGCTTGACCTTGCTTCCTGTCATCTGTTCTGAAGTATTAGGTAGGATGCAGTTTTTGGGCTTGGCTATAGGGAATATAGGCATGGGTCCTGCTATTGAGTAAATTATAATTATGGTGCAGTATGAAGCAGTTTATAATTATTATATAGTGGTTAGGAGTGTGGGCTCTGGCACCAGGTTGAATCCTGGCTCCAGGATTTTTTGCTGTGTGACCTTGGGCCAGTTAGCCTATCTGTGCCTCAGTTTGTCCATTTGTTGTTTTTTTTTTTTTGAGACAGAGTCTCGCTTTGTTGCCCAGGCTAGAGTGAGTGCCGTGGCGTCAGCCTAGTTCACAGCAACCTCAAACTCCTGGGCTCAGGTGATCCTTCTGCCTCAGCCTCCTGAGTAGTTGGGACTACAGGCATGTGCCACCATGCCCGGCTCATTTTTTCTATATATATATTAGTTGGCCAATTAATTTCTTTCTATTTATAGTAGAGATGGGGTCTCGTTCTTGCTCAGGCTGGTTTCGAACTCCTGACCTTGAGCTATCCGCCCGCCTTGGCCTCCCAGAGTGCTAGGATTACAGGCGTGAGCCACCGCACCGGGCCCAGTTTGTCCATTTGTAAAATGAGAATAATTCCATCCGGTTCTTGGAAGGATTAAATAATCATACAACACTTGGAATGGTGTACTAAATATTCGGTAATGTTATTATTACATAAAATGGAGTGATGCAGAATGTAAGTGTTGGAGGAATTCCAAAGTGGAAGAAGTAAGTTGAGGCAGGTGTGATCAGGAGGGGCTTCCTTAGCGGGGCGAAGAATGGGTTGAAGGTTTGAGTAGGGCTAAGAGAGCAGCTGGAGCTGGTGTCCCAGGCAAGGGGAGCAGTGTGCATAAGGCTGCAGAAGGAAGAAGGAATATAATATGTCCAGGAAGCTGTAAGGAAACTGACTAGGATAATGGGAAGTTAAATGGGGTACATGGTTTGGAAGATGGGAGGTGGGAGATATTGATAAATAGGTACTAAAGATTAGTTTTTATAGAGAGGAACCAGGGAACTATTTGGGCCACCAGGGATTTCTAAGCTGTGGAATGAGGAACTGGGAGTCCAAGCAGATGAGTCAAGTGTGGATTTACAGGGTGGTTGAAGAGAGGAGCAGTGACCAGGAAGCTATTCCGATAGTTTACCACGTTTGGGTCTGGACTCAGCGATAGCCATGGAAGAAAGAGGAAGGGGTAGTGTAGGTAGTGTTTCAAAACAGCACTGTAACATATAGGGTTTGGTGACTGATGGAGGCACAAGGGAGACCAGTGCTAGGTGACGTGAGTCTCCAATCCTGCATAAATGCCTGTGTAAAAAACCGGGGGTTGGAGGTGGGGGAGGAGCAGGTTTGGGGAAGGTTTAGTGATAAACAAGAGAGCAACTCCTTATTTACCTTTTACAACCAAGAGGAGCTCCCCCGTGAGGGGCCCCTTCCCCAAACTGAGGTGGCTTCTTTGGGGCTGCAGTTTGAATCTAGGAGCAGCAGGCAAGGCTGGCATTCCCCCATTCACCGGGCAGCCAGCTCCACATGGTCTGCTCAGCGCAGGCCCCACACATGGCACTTGCTTGTTAGTGGCTACTGCTCAACTTTCCTGCCAGTGCCCACTGATCCCCTTGAGCCACAGGCTTTTCAGGGTG